CTTCTGCTGCTGCATGCACGCGGCTGCATGCACGCGGCTGCATGCACGCTGCTGCATGCATGCTGTTGCATGCGTGCTGTTACATGCGTGCTGCTGCATGCGTGCTGCTGCATGCGTGCTGCTGCATGCAGAGGCGTGGGATTGTTGTTGAACAATTTTGCTGCTGCTTGTTTGTTGGAGAGCAGCAGCAAATGAGCAGCAGCTTCCCGCCGAAACTAGAATTCAGCTTTATCTTTTAAAGTCCGAAAACAGAAAAAATAAAATTTGAAATTAAGAAAGAAAATTTGAAATTAAGAAATAAAATTCGAAATTAAAAAATAGATAAAATTTGAACTTTAATAATAAATGAAAATGTTATACTCCAAATTGCTTCAGCTGTTGCTGCTGCTTAGACGCACATTTCTGTCCAATTGCATAATTAGAAATATTCGAATTCAAATTCCATTGATATATTTCAAATATATTTTAATTTAAATATATTTCAAATATATCTCAAATGTACTTCAAATATATTTTAAAAATATTTCTATTAATTGCTAATGGAATAAATTAAGAAAATATTTGGAGGAAACGCCGGAGTTTGAAGTTGCATGCAGTGCAGGTTTTTTTTTTCTTTTGTTTGCTTTCAGAAAGTCTAGAAAGTCTATTTTGTTAGCTAAAAGTACTTTTGGATTTTAAGTTCATTTTGCTTTCGAGCTTCTCGAAGAAACTGGAGCTGCTGCTGCTGCTGCTGCTGCTGCTGCTGCATGCATGCACGAGTTTGTGCTGCTCGTCAGAACTTGAGTCGCCAGCGTGGAGCGCCAAGAGCGGAAAAGGGGTCAAAAGAAAGCAGGAAAAGGCCAACTGCATGAATTTGTTGAAATAGATGCATTAAGAAATGAAAATTGGAAAAAAAAGACTACTTGTGGTCCAAACGCACCTGCAAATGCGATATATTTTTCTCCAACTGCTGACTCAGCCGCTCGCCGCCCCAGTGGTCCGTCAGGCCAATTTTTGTGCCGTACATACACCGCTGCGTGCATGCGAAAAGTGGCGTCGAGCTTTTCGTCATTTTTTTTATTTTGCAATTTCGCAAATGTTCAAATTCCGTTTAAAACATTTAAAACACATTTAAAACACACTTAAAACGCAACTGAAACGTATTTAAATACATTTAAATGCATTTAAATGCATTTAAATGCATTTTGAATGCATTTTGAAGGCATTTTGAATATATTCGGCAACTGCGAATGGGGAAACGCCGGAACTTGAATTTGAAGTGGAAAACTTCGCGATCTTCGCGATCTGAGTGGAAAAAAGGAATATTTTTGAATTTTGAATGCGAATTTCGACTTTTTGGAACTTGTTGCTTCATTTTAAGCTCGCTTTCCACTTTTTCCCGAGACTTTCCAGAAACTCACTTCGTAGTTTGCACGCGTCACCAAACAACGATCTTCTCCCCCTTGAGTCCAGTATTTCTCTCCAAGTTTCTGCGCCCGCTCAAGTTGAATCGCAACGCAGTTCCCGTGCATCGTCAACTCCATTTCGCACGCCTTCGGGCCTCTCTGCCAGCAGCAGCAGCAGCAGCAGCAGCAGCAGTAGTAGCAGCAGCAGCAGCAAGAAACTGAAATAACTCTGCTGGGCACTTCACTTCTACTTCATATTGATGCAGACCAGACTGAAATAAAACAAAAAACGACTTTAATTTCAAATTGCTGCATTTTGAAACAAAATAGGAAACTGATTTTCACTGCGAATTGCTGCGTTTTGAAACAACACGAAAAGTTGAATTAATTGCAAACTGTTGCATTTTGAAATAAAACAAAAAGCTGACTTAATTTCAAGTTATTTAATTTTGAAATAAAACAAAGAGCTGAATTAATTTCAAATTCTTTAATTTTGAAAAAAGCAAAAAGTTGAAAACTTGAAAGTGCTCACCATTGGCTGCGACATCAAATGGGCGACGCGCTCCGAGTCGGAGGGAAAGTTCTTGCGGTGCTGCATGCATCTCTGCGCAAACGCTCCGCAGCAGCAGCAGCAGCAGCAGCTGCAGCAGCAGCAGCAGCTGCTGCTGCTGCTGCTGCAGCAGCGGTACTAGTGGTGCTGGTGTGGTGGTGGGGGGTGAGCGCCTGGGGGTTGCTGCCCAGGAAGCTCGATGGATGGCGTAGTTGTTCTCCGGTGGGAAATAAATGAAAAGAATAAAAAGAAACAAATAAATTAAATAAAGTAATTGAATTAAAATGAATTAAAATGAAATTTAAATCGCAAATAAACGCCCCAGCTCACCGTGAGCAGCAGGGTAGTCGCTTCTATCCATTTTGCGGCAGCAGCAGCAGCAGCAGCGCGAGAGGAGCAGCAGGAGAATTGCAGAGAAACTGGCGGAAGCCGTTTCTTTTGGACTTAATTGAGTTTTAAATTCATTTGTTTTGTTATTTGAAGTTATTTGAACTAATTTAAACGGGTTTTGAACGGAGAATTCCCGCAGCGGCAGCAGCAGCAGCAGCAGCAGCAGCAGACAGCAGCGGCGCCGCCACCCGGGCTGCGGCGACCAGACCACTGCTGCGGCGCCTCCGCATTCCCCCTGAACCCCTTTTTAATTGCGTTATTTAATTTAATTTAATTTTTAAATTCAATTTAATTCTTTTTCGCAAAAAGGAACTCCAAAAACAAAACCAGAAACTCCCCGCAGCCCCCGCTGCTGCAGCGGTGACCATCGACCGCGCGGGGTGTCTTCGCAGCTTCAAAATCTTTTCTGTCTTTCACTTCGCCAAATTATTTCCATTTTATTTCTTTTGCATTAAATAAATCATTTATTCATCTTTTCCATTCAGTAAACTTTCAATTTCTTTGTTTTGCACTTATTTAATCCATAATTTCCTCTTTTCGAAACTTCGCATGCACAAGCCAACCCCCACCCGCCAGCCATGCAGCCCCACCAGCAGCAAGCAGCTAGCTGAGGCTTGCAGCAGCTAGCTAGCTGTGTCTGGCTGCAGCTAGCCACAGCCAGCTGCGGCTAGCTGCGGCTAGCTAGATGCGGCTGGCCGTGGCTTGCTGTCGCTCGCTGTGGCTAGCTACAGCTAGCTGCAGCTAGCTGTGACTACCCGTGGCTAGCTGCGGCTGGCTGTGACTAGCTGTAGCTGGGTGTGACTAGCTGTGGCTAGCTGCGTCTAGCTATAGCTAGCTGTGACTAGCGGCTAGCTGCAGCCAGCTGTGGCTAGCTGTGGCTAGCTGTGGCTAGCTGTGGCTATCTGTAGCTAGCTGTGACTACCTGTGGCTATCTGTAGCTAGCTGCAGCTGTAGCTTCCGTAGCTAGCTGTAGCTACCTGTAGCTGCCTGTGGCTAGCTGTAGCTAGCTGTAGCCAGTTGTATCTAGCTGTGGCTAGCTGCAACTAGCTGTAGCTAGCTGTGGCTAGCTGCAGTTAGCCGTGGCTGGCTGTAGCTAGCTGTGGCTAGCCGTTGCTAGCTGTGGCTAGCTGCAGCCAGCCCTGGCTGGCCGTAGCTAGCTGTGGCTAGCTGCAGCTAGCTGTGGCTAGCTGTAGCTAGCTGCGGCTAGCTGCAGACAGCTGTGGCTAGCTGCAGCTAACTGTAAGTTTTGAGTAGAATTTGTGTGGGCCAGAGAGCAGCAGCAGCGCAGCAGCAAATGGATTTGGCATTTTAAAAAAGAATTTAAATGCATGCAAGTGTTTGGACTTGTGTCTGTACAGCTGAATATATATTTGTTTATTTATATTTATATTTACATTTATATTTATATTTATAATTGTATTTATATTTGTATTTGTATTTGTATATGTATTTATAATTATTTATATCTCTATTTTTATTTACACATATTTATATATTTAATTACTTGAATCCAATATATAAATATATTTATATCATAATATATATTATAATATGCTAATATTATATTATATTATATTATGCTAATATTATATTATATTATACTATACTAATATTACATTATATTATATTATGATATAGTGTAATATAGCATAGTAGTAGACAATATAATATAGTATGATATAATATAATCTAACACTATATTATGTTGTACTATATTATATTATGTTGTAATATAATATAATATATTATATTATATTATAGTATATCATATTACATTGTATTATATTATATTATATTATATTATATATCTTAATACATTTATTTATATATTTATATATTTTTGTGTGAATGCATGCATGGGCGTATATACACGACTGTGCATGCATGCAAATGCAAATAAAATAAATTTAAATAAATGTTTTTATTTTTAATTTGTTTTCTTTTATAGATTTACATGAATTTTAATTTAAAATGAATTTGAATTTAAAGTGAACCTAAATGCATATATAAACATCCATGAAAATAAAAACCATTTTACATTTAAAATCTAGAATCTGTTTCCAGGGACGCCAGGAGACATTCATGCTTTAGGGTTTAGGGTTTAGGGTTTAGGGTTTAGGGTTGAGCAGAAAAAGAAAAGAAGGAAAACAATAGACGAGCACAGCGAAAGTAGAAAGGATCTTTTGGCGTGGCCCCTGATGAAAAATTTCAGGAAAAAGCTGCTTTATTGCTTCAAAAAGAATTAAAATAAATAAAATAAAATAAAATAAAGTAAAATAAATAAATAAATAAAAGAACTGAAGAGGAAGAAGTGGTGGCTGCTGAGGTGTAGTGACACCTGAAAGTGAGTGCGCGGCGGCTCTCGGGGGCCCCAGAGCGGCCAGCGGTTCATTTCTTTTGTTTCTTTGTCCGTTTTGTTTCTTTTCTTATTCTTTTTATTCTTTTATTTGTTTATTCCTTTTAAAATAAACGAAAAAGGGAAAAAACGAGCGGCTTCTTGCTGCGCGCGGTTGCGGCGGCACACTGACTGCTGCGCCGCCGCAGGGGCCCCTGCGCGGCTGCGGCGTCCAATGGCGGCTTCTTGCGAATCTTCTCCGCTAAAAAGGAATTCAAAAGAAATAAAATGAATTAATTTACAAATTAATTCCATTATTCAAAGAAAACAGCGAAAAAACATGATGGCAATGTCCGATGCTGCTGCTGCTGCTGCCCCCCCCCTTTGGCCCCTGCCCACCGCAGCCCAGCCGCTTGCTGCAGCAGCAGACAGACCACGAGGTCTCCACGCATTTAAGCAGCAGCAGCAGCAGCAGCAGTACGCGTACCACGCTGCGGACCCACCGCGCCAAGAGCAGCAGCAGCTGCTCCGCCTGCAGCAGCAGCAGCAGCAGCAACAGCGGCAGCTGCTGCAGCACCCCAGCATCAAGGCAATGCAGGATCTGCTGCGCCATGCGGCAGCAGCAGCAACAGACCCTCCTTCCACTGGTGCTGCTCGACAGGGGCCCCCGTGGGGCCCCCAGCTGGCCCCCCTAGGGGGCCCCCTGGGGGCCCCCCAGGGGGACCCCCTAGGGGGCCCCCTGGGAGCCCCCTTAGAGAGCCACTTGTACCCTTTGGAGGGGGCCCTCGAGGAGGGCGTGGGGCTGCTGCAGGCGGTGGGGGACATTGAGCGCAGCAGCAGCCGCAGCAGCAGCAGCAGCAGCAGCAGCAGCTTGCTGCCGCTGATAATAGAAACTTCGAGTGAAGGCAGCAGCGAGTCGGAAGCAGATGAGGACTGGGCGGAGTTGACTTTGGAGGGATCGGAAGATGGGGATCGGGATCCTGTTCGATCCCAGCCCCCCTTTGCAGCCCAGCAGCAGCAGCAGCAGCAGCAGCAGCTGCAACAGCAGCACCAGCAGCAGCAGCGGGAAATGCTTGCTGCTGCGGGCGCCTTCTTTCCCGCTGCAAGGGATAGGCAAGGACGTGAGACAACCGCGTAAGCTGCAGTCTCCTCCCTGGGTTTTGCTGCAGCAGCAGCAGCAGCAGCTGCTGCTGCTGCTGCTGCTGCTGTAGCTGCTTTTGCAGTTGCTGTTGGAACCAATGTCGCTGTCGCGGCTACTGCAGCTGTTTGTTCTTTGGGCGTCTGCTGCTGCTGCTGCTGCTGCTGCTGCTGGTGTTGTTCCGCCGTGGCTGGTTCTTTGCTGCGTCTGTTGCTGCTGCCGTTGCTTTTGGCCTAGCTGCTGCTGCTGCTGCTGCTGCTGCGTTTTCAGGGAGGTGATGAGGGGCTATGTGCGGGAGGACCATTCTGCTGCCTCTGGTGGGTTCTCATTTACGTGTCTGCATCTAACTTGCTGCTGCTGCTGCTGCTGCTGCTGTTATTGATTTCTACTTCGCATTTTATTTCAAAGACAATTTTGCTGCTGCCTGCTGCTGCGCTGCCACAGGCCCCTGGGAAGGCGCCACTCAGCAGCAACGAGCAGCAGCAGCAGCAGCACAGCAGCAGCAGCAGCAGCAGCAGCAAAGGAGCTTCTCGTTTATGCGGGACCTAGCGACGGCGTTTAGTTCGCGTCTATTGGGGGTGGTCGGCGGCAGTCGCGACAGAGACAAAGATGCTGCTGCTGCTGCTGCTGCAGCACCAG